TCGTAAGATTAATATGACGGGTGATCGTAAATGTTTTCGATAAGAAGTTTGTTCACTTTTTATCCACTAGAAAGTGTTTTCGAAAAGTCAAAAGATATGAGCTAGAACCAGAATTTTGTGCTCTTTTGGAATGTGAGCTTAGAAATCTCGTCTCAGTTTTTGTACAAGGGCAATGAAATAATCTTTGAATGAACTAAAAAATTAGTTTCGACGGAACTTATGAATTAACGTTTATAGTGAACATGTTTCATCATTTTGCTTTGCTTGAAAGCATTTCAACCAAGCTAAAAACTATAGTTTGCAACCATAGTTTCGTGCTTGGATGAAAATGTGTCTATTTTGTTCAAGAGTAGTGAGGAACGTTTAAAACGACCTGAAAAAAATATTTTTAATCACCAATAAATAGTTCATTTGTTTATCTTATAAGTCCCTTTCGACCATGCTAAAAAGTGTCGAAGTCAATCGCTTTGAAGAACGAGCACTTCTCTACAAAGTCAGACATTGAACTAAGTTGTAGATTTTGCTCGAGTGCGACTGCAAGCATTTTTTTCAAGGGCTTCTTTCAGTGTAAAACAAATCTCAATTTTTCAAAAATGAGTATTTTGGAAAAGCGAAAGTTGAGATGCATTCTCCAAAAAAAGAAAAAAAAAGATTTTAAACAGTGCATTTTGTAGGGCAACCTTTGATTTATAAGCTGATTTATAAATCAAAATCCCAACTTTTAGTTTCGAATCACAATAGTGAAAATCTAAAAATGTGGGTAAAAATTTTCCGTTCAAACTAAGCTTTTGCTCTTTTCAAAGATTATTTCACCATTTTCCAACAAAATTAGGACAAAACTTTTAATCGGCGATTTCCTAACAACTTTCACCAGTCAGTATTATTACATAAAAGTAAAATAGATACTTTTTTTCTTTTATTTTGTTCGTCTGATCATCTCAATGAACGGCAAGTATTAGTTCGTAAAAATAAATCTTTATTTATTGTATTTCGACCTCTTTCGATAACAAAAGGATCAGTAAGTATTATTTTATTTAAAAAAAAAAGGTATTATTTACTGCGTATTGAAAGAAAGAAATCATCTCTTCCGTCGTTGACGAGAAACATGTGTGAGCATGTTAGTAAGCGACGGTGGTATATATGTTGAGACGTAGTAATAGTCATAGATGCAAACACTATGACCTGGTTCGATCATCATAAAGATTATTTGACTAATCGCGATATTCTGTAAAACTTACGAAAAAAATTGCCAGTTTAGGTGACTAGACGTTATAAAATCAACGATTCCTACAGGCTTTTAATCACATAGCTAGTAATATCTTTGTACTGCGCCTTAATAACGATATCTGGATTTATCTCGTTTTTGGCTCTTAATAAAAGAATTAAAAAAGTAGACGCTAGACTTTTACCATTGGCATCATAAATCTAATTATTTGTTATATATAAAAAAAGCGATAGTTAGTAGGAAACACAACAACTATCGATCGCTGATTTAAATCCGAGCTAATCCCGTCGAATCCGATAACATTGTTTCTCGATTAAACGCTCGTCGGATTCCGGTTCACTGGTTCATAGACTCATTCCGATAGAATCCAATCGATTGAAGTCAGAATCCGACGATTTTCAGCATAGTTCGACGTTGAGTCTGGTCAGATCCGACAAGATTCAATGATCAGATTTCTTGATATGGATTACTATAGATTTTATGTTCAATAATCAGTTACTCATTGCAATAATGAAAACTACTGAAATGAAAATATTTTAAAATAAAAACGACGATCTTTCATTGAAAAACACTCAATATTTATGCCAATTGGTCATTTCTCATAACATGGTTTCAATGTCATCTTCGATCAATAATCGAGGCAGAAATGTACGTACGAAAGTCGAAGTGCAAGGAGAAAAACGTTAAATGTCGAACCGAAAAAAACTTGACTCTGCATATCTCGAACTCAAGATACTTTTATGTTATAATTATGTAAATAGTCGAGATTTAATCATACGAAAAGACTGCTTCATATAAATCTGTCTATTTTAATGATCACATCAATGTCACTGAAAGAGTTTGAGATTAATTTCTTTGACATATTGCTTCCAAAAACAAGGTCTTTTGTTGAAGGAAGCTTAAAAAATCGATATTGCCTATTAAAACTTATAAAATTTATTTCTTGACAAGAAATAGTTACAAATCTATATGATTTATTCAGATTAGCCTTATGAAAACAGATATAATTAGCAGTTACGTCTTAAAAAATTCAAATTCTTCAATGTTCATTTCTTTGTTAAATTTATATGAGAAAAATTCTTATTTTATAAATGCTTACATTCATTGTAATCACAGGTTCATCTTTGTCATAACAAATTTGACAATATCGAAAGACCAATTGACCTACAAAAATACATTATTTATCAACACATTTCTCTTCTTTTTTTTTAAATATTTACCTTCCGATTGTTCATTTTTATATTGAAGTGAATGAAAAAGTTGTAAAATAATTTCATGTAATTGTTTATCCGAGATTTTTTTTGTTTGTTGTCGTTGTTCTTTAAGTACAGATATATATTGATTATAATATGATTTTAGTTCATTATCATTCATTGGTTTTTCTACAGCTTCAATAGATTTTCGTTTCTTATCTTTACTTTGTGGCATTGATGGCTCATAGAATTCATTATCCGAACCATAAATATCATCATCATCTTCTTCTTCTTCTTCTTCATCTTCACTTTTATCTACTCGAGGTTTTTTAGAGGGATTATTATCAGCATCAAATTCATGTCCACACATTTCACAAACTACGAAAGACACACAGAAAACAAAAGAATTTAGACATTTCTTAATATTTCAAACAAATCGGACCTCTAACATGGTTACCACTATTATTAAAAGTACATGCCGGGCATAGAGTTGTGCCACTACTGTAAGTCAAATCATTTGGTTTTGTTGGTTTTGAATGAAGAGTATTCGGTGTTTCACACTAGATTTAATAGATCGAAAAAAACTAAATTTAAAAAAAGAAAAACATACCATTTCACATTTTGTCACATCAAGAGATTGTATATATGTACAAACAGAACATGAATAAGTAGTTACTTTTTCGCTCATATTTATCTATAATATATAGTAAACGACGAATATTTATTAAAATATAATCACTTTGGACAATGTTCAGACAATCACAAGAAAGAAAAAAAAATATTTCAAATTAAATTTTATTCAATAAATCATCGGTTGTTTGAGAATCATCGGGTAATGAAGGTGTTGCCATTGTCGAAGGAACACTTGCATGACTAAATATATAAATTAAATAAAGAAAGTTGTTAGCACAATCCCTGCAAGATTAAAATGTGAAACATGATGTAACTGCTCTTGGTCATCACAGGAAGATTGTGCTACTCTGTTTATTGTAGAATACATGTATTCACCATCATTTGACTTAATCCGCTAGAAGTTTGTCTCGATCTTTAGGTAGAGTCTGTCGGGTTGGTGGCGGACCAAAGCGAGTCTGAATCCAAAAAAATTTGGAGCCAATGCACTCTAGTCGTCTCAAAAATGTGTAGGGTATCCTCGTCACCGAATACGAAACACTAAAAAAAGGTATCTTATATTTTCCAAGTGAGTATGCAATTCAGACTAGAAAATTTCATTGCGATTACCAAAATACAGTTCGATCGGGCCCCAGATCGAAAAATTTTTAACCTAACAGGCTCTACTGGAAGGGAGAGGAATGCAAATTTCTACTTTAGACACTTGAACACTCCTTTCAGATCGTGTTCGACAAAATTAATAAAAAATTCTCCTACTTAACAAATGGACGAGTCGAAATGGAATTGACACCAGTGACATAGTTTCGTCTAGAAGACAATAGACAACATAAAAAAATTTTATTATGTGTTTTTGTTTCATACCGTTGATGATGTTTTCTAATTGTCGATGTCTTATAGTCCATTTGATCATCACCTAAATCTAACGAACTATCTTGATTATTATCAACAATCTTTAGTTTTGATGGTTGAATTGGCATTTCGATCTTTAATTATCAAATAAAAGCAATAAAAAAAAATCAATTTTTTAATTTACATGTTGTATCTCATCATCTTCGCTCGTATCTGTATTACTCATTTGACGTCTAGTACGTTTATTCGTTGGATGTTCGATATTATCCAATGTTGTGGTATGTATAGGTGACGTACTTTGAGATTGTGAATTAGCATATGATTCATTATCTGAACATAAAACTTGTTTATTTTAGAAAAGAATAAAATTAAATTAACCATTTTCTGTCGTAGGATGTTCATTTTGATATGATTCAATTTGACGTTTAAGTTTTGATAATTCAGCCTTTTTTGTATTCAATACAAGAACAAACTAAAGAAAATGAACAAATAAACTTCCTTTATTTTGCTTAGTTTTGACATGCCTTTTAATTTACCAGGTTATACAGAGATGATTCTAATCACCTATTTCATATTACAGTTGATTTTTATAAAACTGATGATGATAAACATCACGAAAATTTGCCATGCATACAATAATAACCTTAACTAATTTTCTTCATCTTGTGACCTATCTTACTCTTCATCTATATTTTTTCTATTCATGTCTTCATTTATAACTGCGGAGAAGATTGTATCACATAAATTCAATTAAGAAAAATGATTTCTTTTTTTTTAATGAAAACCGATTTCAAATTTCTTCTAAATTAAATACAATATATAAAAGACTTTTTAGAAACTTTCTTTCCTATCGACTTTTCTTTCTATCAAGTAAACAAAACATCCTTGTTTTTATCCTTCGAATGGAGACCAATCATGTATATGATGCGTGGGAGCCCCTGATATTTTTTCTAAATGACGAATAGGTAAATTTACATATTGATCAGAACGAAAAAAAATCACATCGTCGAAAACATTATATAAGTCTTCTACACGACGCATAATTATGTTACTTTGACAGCGTATTTTTTGAAAGCATTATGGAACGATTTGAAATGTCTAGTATGCATCATCGACAAATGCAGCGTGTTGAAAATGATTATTGCTCAACTTCATCTTGGACATCATCTATTGTACGGGCTAGTAGTAATCCATCAATTTCGTCTATGATTGGGTCTATGTGTCCAATATCAATAGATGCCAGTAATTATCCATTAAAACATGACAATCAACCAATAACAGAAACAAGTTTAACTAAAAATTCACTTGTGAATACATCCCTATGCAAAATATGTAACAAGTTCAATACAACAAATCAATATGATACATGTCTTCAATGTTATCAAAATCAATCAAAATCGAATTCTTTTGAAAATATTTCAATCGAGCAAAAATCTCACAATCAAACAGTTCTATCACAATCATTTCACGTTCAAAAAACAATGGATAACGATAAAAACAAATTACTGGAAAATAATAATACAACCGATGTCGCTGATTCATCTCAAGATGAAGCTAAGAAAAAATTACAGCACCATGTTCTTAAGCATTTACTTATATTCAATGGAGAATGTGAATCTTTACCAGACTTATCTAAAAGATCTTCATCTTTATCTTCACAATCATGTTTATTTCAACTTGTCGTTCAACCAAAACTTTGTTTTGAAGAAAATGTTGTTGAAACAATAGAATGTTCACCATCTGTTCTTGCTCCTGTTCCTGTCTCTGTACCTGTTTCACAGTGCTTACATCTGTCTTCGGAAGATATCAATTATTATAAAAAACGTGAAGTAGAATTGCATCATACTGTTACAGAACTTATCGAACAGTTGACAATTAAAACAAATGAAAATATCAATCAAATATCAAAATATTGGTCTTATTTAAAACAGTTATCTTTGAATAATATTCAACCACAAACAAATCTTAACCAAATATTTAATTATCTATCAAAACCAATTAATCGAAATAAACAATTTGAACATTTTCTCGAAAAAAATGATGAAATTAAAGCTTTATTACAAGTTTTATCAACAACATTAGATATTGTTCAAGATAGATATTCATTATCAACAATTAATCAGTTATTTGATTGTGAAGAAAAAACAATGATAGAAAATTTACGTACTGAACTTGAATTTTCGGTTTCATCTCATACTGATGAACTTTCAATGATTAATCTATTTAGTGATTTTTATCAAACTTCGTTAAAAGAATTGGACAATTTTCATTTGATAAAAATTATAAAAAATGATTATCCATCTTTAATTGAAAAAATTTCTAATGATTTCGTTACGAAAGTTCCTCAAGTGAATGAAATACTTGAAAAAATGCTTAGAAATATGAAAAACAATTTACTTTGTAATAATTTCGAAACTAATAATAAACGTGATATTGAATAATTTATTTACCTTTCGATAAAGATCAGCTTCAAGTTGTTCTTTTAAATCAACTGTTCGTTTAACTGTCTAGAGAGCAAGAATAAGAAGTGATGTATAGTAAATCAGACAAATGTTTTTCTCTTTTTAGGAGAATTTCCATCACATAAAAGATTTAATTTTGACTCATTCGATATAGTTTCTCACTCTGCAAAACTAATGTCTATCACTTTCAAATAAGTTGTTTTTGTCGATGCAAAATTCAAAAGATGAAAACCTACTTAATTGCTGGACTATGACAGTCAAAAGATGAAACATATTTCATAAAGACTTTGCTGAAATTTCAAATATGGTGCAAAGATCTCCATAAAATTCTGTAACTTCTGATTTATATTTCAGGATTTTAGTAAAAAATGAATGCATAAAAAATCTTTGAAGTACGAAATGTGAAAAAACAGAAAAAAAACTTTTCTCTTACAGGATAACATCATTGTTCTTTTTTAATTCGACAGAGTCTGATGTTTTTATTGTTCAATTCAGCAAGTGCACTACTATGTTCAGAATAGAATTCTACGTCGAACGGCATGAGAACAAACATGTCATTAAGGAAAGAGAGAGCACAACATTTTCTATCCATGAATGCCAAATATTTTCCTTTTAGCATCAATCCTGATGAGCAAATGCTTACAAAAATCGGAAATCGTAATGAAACAATTGAGTAGATTTTCATTTTTTAAATTTTGCACTGACAAAATAAAGGTTATTTAAAAAATAGAAACGACGATTTTTTAAAGCAGAGAATTCTTTATCGAATGAGCCTAAAGCAAGATCTCCCATACGTTGGAAAATGCACTCCCAAAAAAAGAGAAAACAATTTGTCCCGTTCATTATTCNATAGGCACAAAGAGACAGGGTGAAGAAGATAGTAACATGCATGATGAACGTAAACAAAGGTTGACGATACTGATACTACAATAAAGACGCGTATGGCATTTTCAGAAGTTTAATGAGAAGAAAAGAAAATAGACCAATAGAAGATCTAATCAATGTTTGCATAAATAAACCGAGATTAATTTCAAAAATTTCCCCCGACGGCCGTCGGCGCACACGGGTAGATTCTGCACGGCTGACAATCTGGTAAAGGAGCTTGTGACAGAGTTTAGTTGATGTCACCTCAATTGGTTAAAGTCTCAAAGTTTTAGTGATAGATATGACAATTTCACTATTATATGAAACATATATACTGGAGCTCAGAGACTGCATTTATACATGAGAGATTGAAATTATACAATTACCTCAAAAAAAGTTGCAAGCCAAACTACGAGTTCTGTACATATTTAGTAGGAAAGAGATGTTCGGTTTTTCATTAGTCCTTGAAGATTTCTGATTAAATATAATTTTGTAATTGAGATGAAATTCCTATCTCTATATGTCTTGTAATATATTAAAATCTATCAAACATTGAGGTGTCTTTTTTTTTCTTTTCTTTAAGATATGACATATCTTTTATCTTTATGCAACACGGTGATCTATATTTACGTGATACATTCATTCAAACGACAATTCATCTTTTAACACTATCATCATGATCAAATTCTTTTATTAATCAATGTTAGGTTAGAATGTTGATCGTCTCTTGTTTTTGATAAAAATATTTTTTTTTGTTTTTAAAGATATTCAATTAGATATTTCAGCTAAATTACTTTCCACATTTCGATTATGTCCTCATGATAATAATGCACATGTTAGACATCATTCATTAATGCTTTACGAACATTATTACCTTTTTTATTAATTAATAAATATGCATTTACAATCATTAGAATTGAATTATTAGAAGATTCTATTCAACATAGTACAAATTCCTATATTCCTGCTAAAGTTGATACAAGAAATTTATGATTATAATAGTTTTTTTGTGTATATAAAATAAGTTACTCTAGCTCAACTTATAGATGATATTAATTTTCGAATATTAACTTATCTTGAACAATAACAATATCCTGATATATGTGTTCGTCAAGCAACTACTTCTACTTTTGCTAAGTATGTATTTTGTAGAGATATTAACTAGGTAGATTTTTTTTTGAATTTGAATGCATAAATTGATTCTATTGCATTAAGTTAGTTATTTCATCATTCATTACAATAATCAAATACTTGTGTAATAATATCAAATGGTAAAGTACAATATGAAACACTATCATGTTGTTTATCAACATTAATATTTGATCGTTTAGGTCAGCCATCAGCTCAAATGCAAATTGTTTGTTATTTTTATCTTTTATATAGGTTGGATGTTTAGAAGATATTTATGTTCTTTTAAATGTTTCAAAATCAACAACGATTCGACCATTTTTTCATAATCAATATGATGAACTGCGTTTATTTATACATTTCTTAAAACATCCATTTATATTACTTGATCTTAACAATTTGCAACTATTACTCGATTTTAATAATTTAATCTTTTCAAGTAAAGACGAAAAAAGATATTTATTATGTTTTTTTTGAATTCTTTCTTTATTTTTGAGGATTTATCAAATCTCAACAAATGAAAAAATGTTTTGAAAGTAGCACAAATGGTTCAATCAATTCGAAAATTACAGAAAAGGAGTTCCACAGTTTTAAATCTGAAAAATATATTTGATCATGTCTCGTCTGAACGAATTCATTTGTCTTTCTTTTTAAAGAGAATGATAAAGATTCATCAACAACATCAAATACAACAAACAGCCAAAGATAAAAGAAAAGTTAATCGTACACAATTAGGTACGTTTAGAAATAATCTACATAAGATTTATCAAAAAATTTGAAATCAACATTCAACGTACACAAGAGATAACCTCTTTTAAATAGTAAATATTTATTGTAAAGAAAATTTCAATTATTAATCTTTTTTATTGAGCGGTTGAGCTAAAATCTTTAGAATGTTGTATTGAGTCTAAAACTTGTCTACGGATAAAACTTTAGATGGAAATCTTATAATTAAAGTTTTTGCAAGGATCTTTCCTAGAGAAGGAAAATTTGAATATAAGAATGTCATAGTAACAGAAAAACTGATTATGCGAATATCGATGATCTTAACGAGAGTAGTTTATTGCGAAAGTGTCAGATCTTTTGATTTGATTCTATCTTGAAATCCGAATATTAAATCACCTAGTTCACGTGAGCGATCTGTAAGACACACTATTACCAAAATTGTATCTTAGGATAGAAACAGCAACACAACATTCATTTAAAAATATTCTTTTTATTTAGTTTTTATTAAATCTTTATTAACTAGTAATTGTTTCATCATCGTCTGCTGTAACAAAATCTTCAAATATTTCTTCAACTTATATTCATGCAATTCGTGTTAATCATAGTTGATTAGATGCTGATGAAGTTCTTTGTATGTCTAGTCGTTTCGTTTATTTTTAAATAACATTTTCTTACTCATCTAATCAATCAACTTCAAATGATTGAAGAAACTACAGCAGGTTATGATGCATTATCACATGATAAACTTCATTGAAAACAAGTTATTAAAGTAGAAGATTTAATAAAACATTGTGATTCATTAATAGCAAGTGGACATGAACGTGAAGCATATGGTAGGAAGCTATATGATTTTTTTCTTGTTTGAGTTAACGCAGATAATAAAAAAATTAGAAGCAGAGCGAATGATTTTTGTTCACACATCACTAAAACTTGTTCGATATAATAAAATATTGTCATATTTTAAGAAATAGTCGCTATGCGAATAACTGAAATTCCTAAAAAGTTTTATTTAATGATAGTGAACAAAAGGTGTCCCTCTATAAGGTCTCAAATATCATAGAAACTCGAGAGGGTGTGAGTGTGTAGGTGTAAGTTTTCTTCTCGATTGAACTCACGCCCACACCCTTTTCTTTTCAAATAGGGTCAATTGCTTTTGGATACTTACTCTACACAATTAACACTATTTGATGTTGTATCATCAGTTGCATTACGATCAATTGATCCATTTGTTGTTGTTTTTATTTATGAAGTTTTCCTGTAGTTTAAAATTGTTTTTAGAATGTCAAATTGTCAATCTACAAATTGATGGTTAATCAATATAAATATGATATTTCAATGTCTTGTACAAAATTTAACTGAAGATGCTATATTAACACGATGGAATGAGATTTTATCATCAGTTAATGAAACACGAGATGAAACGTTTAGCCCATAAGTATTCGAAAGAATTTTATTTGTAATTTAAAAACTACTATTCTCATTTTTCTTTTAACTAATACTCGACAATTACGCCGTTCAATCAAAATAACATGATTTTCTCTTGCATCTGATTATCTTTATGTATTTATACATATTATGGAAAATGGTAATGAATCAAAATAATAGTATATTCGTAGACATTGATATGATAGTCCAACAATAGGAACATCAATTTTAGTTGAAATAGTCATCGTTGTAACGAAAACTGGAGTGATTGATTTAAAAATTTCGGTTTGAAACTTTAGGAAGAAGAAACTAACTGAACAGATAAAAACTGGTTTCTATCAAAGTCAAAAGAACTTAAGCTTTCATCATAATCTATATGATAGTAACATATCACCAATTAATTTGAAGATAAAACTTTCCTGACATTCGTTAATTACTAATGAGCTAGCGAAAAACATTTGACTGTATAATTCCTATGCTTATATAAGTTCTATGATTTTATTTTAGCTAAACAATTTCGAACAATTGTAAATGATTTTCATATTTAACTGTTTTAAGTGAGAAGCATGGTGGTCATCAATACTAACACCATCATCATTAATAACACATCATCAATGATTATTTTTTATTTGGACAAATTGAATTTAGATGAAAGTGATCTTGTATTGGTTTTATTAACCCTTTGGGGACGGGTTTTTTTTGAAAAAATTAAGCCTTTTATTAGAGTGAAAAAGAACGAAAGTAACGACGATATAGGAAAAATCCAAATAAAGAATGTATGATAAAGCAAGGGAAAACTCCATTATGTAATGTTATAAGCTACTAAATACACTGTGTGGATATTTTCGACACTTTCGAAATACTGATAATTTACTGTATCAACACAGAAAAATTACTTTACAGGCTATTTCCACTCACTTCTGATTGATTTGAAATATATATCATCCCCAAATTTTGAGAAATACCCCAGGTGGTATATATACCACGCCCGTCCCCAAAGGGTTAGTAGTGCTCTCCTCTTGATTCATTAGTTGATATTAATTAGTCAATTTCTCTTGCAAAACGACATTAAACCCAAAAGTTCTCTTTAGAACTATTTTTTCACATTAAAGAGTTTGTTTTTTTCTTGTTGTTAATTTTTTTGTTAATTTCGTTTTTTCTCATTTCTTTAACTTAGCATTCTTTTTTGTTTTTTTTTCGATTTCTCCTGGTTTTGTATATTTTGTTGTTTTTGTCTGGTTCTTTGTATTTAGTTTTATTACTAAAAATCATTTTGAAATTAGCTGAACTGGTTTTTAAAAATGCCAAAGAAACAGTGCGCTCGCTATAAAAATTGGAAAGCTAGTAAAAAAATTACTTCTAAAACCCATGAAGGGTGTTATTCGTTATTTCCGTTAGAAGGAATTTCTCTCAACACCGGCAAAAATATACTTTTATGCAATCAATGTTGATTTGATTTACCTAATGTAAAGACGCAAACGGAAGTTCAAGTAGAAAACGAAGATACAAATGATGCCGAGGATATGGACACTGGTATTCATGACGATGAAGACTTATTAACCATCGAGAATATTATTTTTGCAGGTTCAGACCGCAAAAAATGTGTAATTTGTAAGGCCGAAGTGAATACAGGTACGACTTTAATGCCAAAACTAGCAAGATTAGATATGTTGGTGCTGAAGCGAATGTACGCTCCTCATGGAGTTCGATGTTGCAAAGACCATTTATGGAACAATCCGCTGTTACCAGATGTTAAAATAAATATGCAAAATCGTCGAAAAGTGGTGTCAAGAACTTTCGATTCAATCCGTCAAGTTTTGAAGGATAAATTAGTGCCGAACTATCCAGGAACTGGTAACTTGTCACGCTTGGAAGCCATTGATCACAACACGTCATTTCCCAACGAATTCTTTGGACAAAACGTCACCATTATATGGGATGGTACGTATTTCTATACAGGGAAATCTAGTTCGCATGAATTTCAACGATCAACTTACTCGGGACAAAAAAAGCGTCACTTAGTGAAGTTTATGTCCTTATGTTTACCAGATGGTTATTGTTTAGATACTTTAGGACCGTTTTTGGTACTCAAAACGACGCCACAATCACAAGTCAAATAGCAAAAAACAAAAAATACGCTGGCAGAATGGTGTGAAGTCGGTGATGCAATGATAGTTGATCGAGGTTTTAGGGATGTTGTAGAAGTTTTTTCTGATTTAGGTTATGAGCCAAAAATGCCCGTTTATTTACCAAAAGGGCAGAAGCAACACACAACGAAAGAAGCCAACGAAGCTCGGTTAGTAACAAAAGTTCGATGGACAGTCGCATGTTACCACGCTCGTTTGAAAAAATGGTAGTTCTTTTCAGAAAGAATCGATAATCAATTATTGCCGAAACTTCAGGATTGTGTAAGGATAGTTTCTGCTGCGTTGAACTGCTTTCGAGGATCAATTGTAAAAGATCATAATACAGCTCATATGGACAAATTAGCAGAACTCATGAAAGATCGTCTGAATAAAAACAACTCTCTTGCAGCACTAGTTGCAGAAGGAAAGCTGTCGCCAAGACAAAGATGGAAAAAAATTGACGAAGTGGATTTTGACTTTCCAGTAAAGGGATTACAAGATTTATGTCAACTCTTTTTTGGATCATAACAAATCAAGCAAAGTCAAACGTACGCCGAAGAACATCTGGATATAAATGGTGATTTTGCAATACAAGTTTCGAAAGAAACAGATCAAATTTTACGCTGTGCTACTCAGAGCCGACACAGCAACTCTACACGATATTACGCTTGGATTGAATTTTCTCTTACAGGAGATCCTATTACATGCTGGTATTGTCAGTGTAAATCAGGTGCCAGGACCGTTGGAGCTTGTGCACATGAAGCTACGAATATATGGTATCTTTCTTACGCACGACATCATGATTTTGAATGTTCAAGAGAGCGGAAGAGAATACAGCAATCGATTGAAAAAATTCAATCACAAGAAGAAGACGAAGACGACAGTAATGAATATTGAACAACATAAAGGTCTCTTCATAGGGAATCGCCGATGCCCTTATAAAAGAAGGAAAGTAAACAGACTTAGCCAATATTACTTAGAAATCCAATGGCCCTCTTCAGGGTCAAGGAACGAGAGACTAACCGTCCAGAGTCCTGCATGCTCGATATGTAGCGGCTACATGGTGTCCTGGGAGGAGAAAGACTGTGATCCTGAAAATGAATCACGGACTAGTATCTGGCCAATTAGTCAATATCGACGAATTAGTTATACGAAATCAACATTCCTGAAGAAGTTCGACTTCGCAAAAGCAAGCAGCAAGGCAAACATTTTTCGTCCATCAAACGAAACTCTAATGCTATTGGAGAGTACACGTAAATGCACAAAAATCTTCCGATTTTCTATTGACACGAATTTTCATGTTAAGCAAGCTCATTCTCCGTATTCTTATCTGTTGATTTAGATCATATTACATTCAATCATAGCGAAAAAGCAATTATTCTTCTTCTAGAAATGAAAAAAAAAAAAATTTTTGATAAATTATTTAACATGTGTGTATATACAGTATGGTGATATTTGAGAATGTTTATGTATAAAGTGGGTCTTTGGACTCTAGATTTTAATATCGCGATGGTATCAAAAGAAAGTTTAGTATATAGGTAAGTTTTTGTGAAAGTTTCAGCGAGGGGTTATTTTTTCTTTTTGAGATAATGCCATCCCAAGATCTCGTATATGATCGATGTATATATATGCTTGGATGACTTTGTTTGGATTTTTTTTGAACACTAAGGATTTTGAAAAACCAAAATTATACAGAACGATAGAGTTTTTAATGTTGATTCTAAATATGTAATTAGAATTTTAGAAATCTTGTTTTATGACAGAGAAAAATGTACTTCAAGGGCCCAGATATGTCCATATTTTACCTCATTACCTGGTCATAAAGATGTAGGCTTATCTCCGAAAGTAAGAGTTCATTTGGGAAAACTGAAATGAATAAATGTGAGGCAAGGTCCAAGGTACAAAATAATAATATTAAAATACCATCTTTGGCGGGGGGGGGCAGATTTTGCCTCTTATCGTGCGTGGTCCTTTGTACTTACGTCGTGCGAGAGAAAATTTGTGAAATATATGCTAAATTAGTGTTCATCATAGGATCTACATTCTTGACAAACAAACAAATCAAGATTCCACTAAAAACTAATCATTACTAACCTAAAATTGTTGATCATCCTGCTGCGATATTGGTATCGGCAAGGACGAACCATAAACGAACGTATTCGCCTTAGACATCCTGTTGTTTTGCTTATTCAATCAAAATAAAAAAAAAGATTCGACACAAATTGAAGTAACATGATAAAATGTAAATTACATCACTATTCTCAATGTGTATTTACATCCATTACTTGAGTAGGAAAAAGAAAAGCTTCGTGATTTTTTGTTTACCTACAAAAAGAAACTGGCACTTTATTAATGTATTTTCAACTGAATCTAAGACAAACATGTATATTAGCAGTACTTTATAATCAATTATGAACATATTGCTCGTTTGTTCTTATGAGACGAACGTAGAAAAAAATTTATCTTGTTTTATGATGCAATGTGGACGTCGGATGATGTGTGTATCATCATAGAGAATGCTACGGTAAAATATAGATATGAATTTCATTATCAATCGAGTACATAAACAACGTATTAGAGGTGCTTTTTTCGTTAAGTCTAAGTTTTTCATGTGAGTATTTCTCATGAAATTCATCATAGTCAGAAGTATCATACAACTCATTTCATTTTGTTCTTTCGTCATCATGAATGGATAGCTTTTTTTCTGTTACTATCGAAGACAATCAACAAATTATAGCTGATTGTAGAACTCCGTTACTACGCATAATCGTTTTCTTCACTTTTTATTGATTTATATGCCAACAAAGCTTTCCGTTGTATTTATTTGTGATGGTATCTTAAAGATAATAGCAAGCATAAAATAAAAGGAAAGAAGTGTTGCGTAATAGATATATATATATGTTTATGCATTTTTTTTCTCAATTTCGTTGTCTTTTTTCTCATTGAATGTGTGATAGATTTGTACAATAGAAGCGAGACGAATGACAAGATTGAGAGAAGATTAAAATATTTATTTGTTAAGATTGATGAATAAAACGATGATCAATATTGATTTGTACTTGTTCACGAGAGTTTATTGAGACATCATCAATATAAAATCTACAATAGAGAATAGATCTTTCGCAATATAAAAAAATATTATCTACTTTTTAAAATCTTCAATTTCCTTATGAAATGCATCCATGTCATCAATATCATTGTTCTGTAGAATACGTAAATCATCTAAATGTTCTTTAAATTATAAAGAAAAAACTAAATTGATAATAACTATGAAAAGATTTCTATACCTTCAGAACCATTCGTAGGTAATGTTGATGATAGAATCGTGAGTCCAGCGCCACTATTAAATGGGTCATAAAGAGGAAAATCATTTGGAATTGCTGATGTTTGGAATTTTTCTTTATCAGTATATATCCATTGGGACTCATTAGAATTTATTACAGATGTATCATTCCATGTTGAAGTTAACTTGTTAATATTATCATTAATGGCAGAATAAAGTGGAGACGAAGTAGAACGTGGTTCTGATGAAGGCCGTTGAATACAACGAGATTTTGTTTTATTAAGAGGACCAGGTGCTGGAGAAAATGATGGATTAGGCTGCTGAAGAGAACTTGACGGAAGAAGATAGCTATTTGAATCCAAATAGGAAGAGGATGATGGTTCATCAAGTAGAAGAACATCATTAACTTTATTCGGAAATAGGCGAGAAGAAGATGGAACAAACGTTGGTGCTGTAGCAAGAAGAGTCGATGATGGTGTTACTGAATAAATAAAAGAAAAACAATCTATTGTGCTACACTCAATATAAGAAGAACTTTTATACCTTGAGTTTGTTCGTGAATAGTCCAGGCAGATGGTGGTTCAATGTGTTGCTGTTGCTTTTGTGAATTATGATTTTTCACTAGATTTTCAACACGTGATGAAGCTAAAATAGTAGTTTGTTTTTGTGGTTTATTAATATTTGACACTGTTTCTGGTATTGGTTTTGGTTGAGCGAGAGTTGATATATTTGTATTTTTCGTCTTCGCCAATGGCCTTTGTTGTCTTTGTGGAATCCTATTTGATGACACAACTGATGCCGCAAGCAATGATGGAACAGGTGTTGATGTTGTTTTATGTTTACTTTGTTTACGAGAAATTGTTATCCACTTTACTTCTTCTCCTTCGTCTACTTCCAGTGGAATAAAACTTTCAGATAAAATATCAATATTTGTTTGAATAGAATCAGTTTTTTTAGAAGAAATCATATCTATAGATGTTGTAGGAGATTTGTCTGTAGAAGATTCATCGCCTTGTTTTTGTTGTTGTTCAAATTTTAATTTAGCTTTTTGTTTTCGTTTTGATAAAGTTTGTGGAGCATCAATAATAGGATTTTCCGATGTTAGTAAATATGTTTTTTTCTCATTGATATCTTCATTGGATGGATTTATTTTGGTTCGTTTATTTTTTTTATTTTTATTTTTTTTTGATATTGGCTCATCTGATGCAGTTTCGTTTCCATCAATAAATCTAACTAAATCATCAATATTATTATCACATTGTTTGATTTTTAATTTATTTCTGGTCGATGATTTTGGTTGATCTGAATTGTTTTCTACAGTACGCTTAGTTATTTTAAGTTTTAATCGTTCTTTCGTTTCGATATCACGTTGATTGAAACCACATGTGAGAGTTGTGTTAGCTGCTAAAGACATACAAGCGACACAACCATTTGTAGTCGAAGAATCGGATTCAGAATATAAATCACAACAACAATAATCATAATCTTTATCGTTGAAAGAAGATTTTTGTAAATCCTCGGTTGTTTTCGAAGATCCAAATGAAGATAATAATGCAGAAATTTCATTAGTTGATGTAGCTTGACGAAGAAGTTGATCAAGATGATTATATGCAATGGTTGAATCAGATTTAATTGATGAACCTATATCAAAAAGATCAAGTTGACGATATTGAGAATGAAAATATTTAGTTGATTATAAACCTTGTTTACATGATAGATTAATATTTAAACTTTTTCGGTTAGTTGATGATGAAGAAGCAGATTCATTAGCTGTTATTGAACCAAATGTTCCAGCTGTAAATGAAACTGATTGAATTTTTGCTGATAAAAGTGATGGAGATGTTGTAATTTCTGTTTTATTTAGTAAAGGAATAGTTAATGGACGAAAATCAGCTGCCAATTTTGATGTTGTTGTTGATGATGGTGGTTTAGGTGGAAGAATTAAATTAGGAGTCAGAGAAGTTTTTGATAGTGACGAAGAAGAAATATTTGAAGTTGCTATTGAATTTTCCTTTCGCTGATTTGATGATTGTTTACTTGATTTGGATTTTTTTGTTGAAACTCCTGAAATATTATAATTGACAATTTGTTTCAAGCAGATATAGACAAAAACCAAATTGATAAGATGAAATTCAAACAAGAAAATGAAGTTATAGAGATAGAATTTAATAGAGCTTAATGAGGATTGTAATTGACCTTTGTTATAATCCAATGAGAGACAGACAAACAAGTCCAACTTTCACTGAGACTAAAACATTTATTGGCCAGAATCGAAACTAATATGCTCGGTGTGGTTCTTCTCAAATTAAATATCCAAGAAGGAGAATAGTAGTGATGAAACAAAACGCAATATAAAGCTAAGACGTTTCAATTTTATTAAGGAAAAGTAGAGAATAATTTTAAGTTCTATGGTAAAAAATATTTCGTTAAGCCTGTTACTAGAACTAATGTACGCGCAAGAATTAAAGTGGGATGAATATAAGCTCAATAACTCGACAATGACAACAGTGAGCGACCTATGGTTTTCAGAATTTGAAAGAAAAGAACTGCTGACGTCTTTTTTTTCTGATACTATTTAAGGCAAAATTATTTAAAAGCCCATCATCTTCTCAAAACTTTTTGAAAGAAATGTATGAAAATGATGTTCCGTTTCAATGAAATTTCAATAAAAATCAACAAAATTCTATATCGTTTGATCGAATAAATACGTACTTTTGTTTGCTCAGCATTGAGATATAATAAGATTATTATCTGAACAATGTCTTGAACTATAGACCTAAAGTGCTTCTATCAAAAGCCCGTGTTAAAATCGAAATTTCCTCGAAACGAAAAATCATTTCCATGCATTCTTGTTTTAAATGTTCTAAAAAGAGGATAGGTTTTTAAATAATTTCGCCTTATATAGTATCAGACAATAAAAGACGTCCGGAGTTCTTCTCTTTTCGTTTTTGAAAACCGCAGGTCGCTCACCGTTGCCATTGTCGAGTTATTGAGTTTACATTCATCTGTATTTAATTCTAATGCAGACAATAGATCCCTTTTTGACTATAATACAAAAGAGTTGGTCTTTCTTCATATCTGTACTGCATATCTTTGTATCATTTTTTTCCTTGATCTCTCTTTTCTACACTAGCATTTATCATAGTTCTCAATTAGTGGAAAGCATTCAAAGAGTTTACTTTACATAGCGCTATTTGCTAATTCTGATGAGCAGTCTTTTAGGCATTATCATGCAGTCTACTACTAAAAATCAGAACATCAATCTAACGAGGCATCATAATGATAGATTTGTTGAAGACACTTGGAAATGAAAAAAAAGCATAGGTTCAAGTCTTTTTTTGTTTTCAAATAAGACGTAAGTTCAATTGAAAACCATGATGCATTCTTCATAGTACTCATTATTTTGGAAAAAAAAAACATGATAGAATTTTACTATTTTTTATAATGTTTACCATTAGATGTTTTTTCTTTATCCTTTTTAGTAGTTTCATTTGTTATTGTTTTTTTATTTTCTTCTTTTTCATCTGTTGCTATATTTTCATTTAATTTTAATTTATCCATTTCAAGTTGAATTTGTGCCATAGGTGAAACATTATTTAATATGCCATGAAATAATTGTTTAGGAAGATCATTAGTATTATTATTTTGAACTAAACTATCCGATGTTTCCTTAGTATAACTTGATGATGATGTATTATTATCAAGTAGGTATTCATCAATAGATGATATTGATGAAGATTCTTTGCCATCAACACCTGAACATATTGATGAACCATTTGAACCTTGTTGACATGTGGCAGATAATGCTGAAGAACTATCAGGTAATGGAACATTCAGAGCATGTATTGTTGAACTTAAATAGATAATTCAATATAAACATGATAATAACTTCAAATTGTGATAGTATTATTCGGTTTCAAATGTCAAGTTTGATAAAACCCAGAAAAAAGATGTTATATCTTGATACAAGATTAGGTAAATTTTAAAAAACTTGCTCTATAACAGTCGCTCTTTCTCAAAGAAAAAGTGTGCTTTCACGCATTTTGTAAAAACTTTTTCACTGCCGACTGCGATAACTACAATCGATCTCTAACAAGGTCTGGGGATTCTGTATTTTTCGATGCTCACCATGATAATACTGTAGGTTATCTCGTATTTACACTGATACTTCGCTTACGAGAGAATTCTTTCAAATGATAAACTCCGCTTGAACTCATATTTTGCTGATTGTTTGAGTGTTGTTGTTTAGATAAAACTCCTAAAAAGATTTGTACCATTAGTGCTTTCTTCTTCAGTCATAATCTTTTTACTGAACTTTCAACCCACTGGAGGATATTATAAAGAAAACTGAATTAAGGAATTTTAGTCAAAAACATTATTTTAGGACTTCTATCTAAAAAAAATGGACTCTAATAATCAGCAAAATATGAGCTCAAACGGAATTCATCAATTAGAAGAGTTTCATTGTTAGTCCTTTTGCATATTGTTCTTCTTAAGTCAAAGAACTCAATGATAGTTTTCGTACAACATTTTAGACATTAGATAAAAGTAAACAAATAATAATTGTGTCTGAAAAACTATCATCAAGCTTTACGGTAAGGCTTCTATAAGATGAAGTGAGATAATGAAGTTTTTTCATAGACTAACTTTTGTCCGACTTTTCTTATACAAGGATTTTGCTACTTTACTGAATTTTTTAAGATCTTCTTAAATCGAAACCAAACTCAAAAAAAAGGAGAATCCAGTCCTTTCTGATCACTTGCGTCACCTATAGTTTCTTGTTTTGATATTTCATCATTATTTAACTCTTTCTAAAAAAGACTATATTCAATTCAATTATTCTAACCTGTTTAAAATTTCCTTAGTTAATCGTTGTGTGTTTTTAATTGTGTGTGCCTTTTTACAAATTTTCTTCTTTTTTGCTGTAACAATAATACCCATTTGATTTCGTTGTTTAATCACAGAATTTCGTGAAATCGAAGTCATTTTTGTTTGACAATCTTTATATAAACAAGCAATTTCTGACATTTCTTCATCGAATGCTAAAAATCTATTTAACAATTGTGTATACTCAGCTGGTGAATAATCATTATCAATATCATTTGATGGTTGAAGTAAATCAATCATTGTTGACATTGAATGTTGAATTTTTTTATCCATATAAACTAATTTTTCATATAAATGTTTATTATATAATAACCATGTTAAATGAAAAGATTTCATATAATGTTCTTCCTAAAAGAAACAATAAAGAAATAGTTTCATTATGTCGAATATTAATACGAACTAAATAAGAAATAACTGTTGAAACATTTTTAGCTGCTTGTATGAATGTATTATATTCATCCAAAAGATATGAAATAAATAATTGTACATCATTGGATGTTTTTAAACATGTTTGAAAACGCTTTAATACTTGATTTCGTATTTCATTAACATATTCTAATACAATCGATTCAATATTATTAAATAAAGATTCAGCATCTAATTGAGTTAATCTACGAAAATAGAAAAACTACTGAAGTATTAAATCGAATTATTTATTTTATAATTACATCTGTACGTATTGTTTTGCTTTACATATATCATTCGTTGAATGATTTTCTAAAAGAGAAACATAAACAAATACAAAAGTAATATGTGTTAAGAAGATTCGCTTTGTTTCAACAAGTACTTGAACCAGCATTCATGATTGCCTACAGACAATCCGAATATGATTGATTATAGATTTTATTTTTCGGAATCATCTTTATCAAATATGCATTTTAGCCTATTAATCGATCATATATGGAAAGTATCTTTAAGTGACTTATTATTGGAGTAAAAAGACAAAGATTATTGATTAATGGTTAGCACTGCAACATTTATTTTGACAATGAAACTAACCTGCAAATTCTCTATTTGTTTCTCGATAAATACATTTAATAATATGTGCAATATCTTGCCATAATTTTCTAGTATCTAAAGATATTAATTCCGAATCATTTACTGACGAACATGATGAGCACCAATATTCATCATCTGAACTTATATCTGGTACAACTATCACTCGTTCATTTTCCTATTTAATAAATATAGAAAAAAAAAATCAGTGATGAACAAAAATATAACTCTACTTTTTCTTCTGAAGAATTTTTACGTTCATAACTTGAACAGATAGAATTTTGAAAATTGTTATTTTCGTCTTGACAATTTAAACAGGAAATAGTCTTCAAAAAATAAAAGAAAGCAGATCAAATTAATATGACATAAAAAAAAGAAATCCGAATAATACTTGTGGCTTTGATTGTTCTTGTAAATCCATTTTGCAAAAATCGAACAAAAATCTAAAATTGATTACTTGTTTATTGAGTAATGTTCATTACTATGAGTAAGACAGTATGTATGATAAGAGGACCAGTATGGCGCAATTTTGACAGATGTCTTTAGCTGAGGGTTATGACTAATTTAAGTTTTTATATATTCAAGTGAATCATTTAAGGAAGAAGAAGAAGGAAGAAAATAAAATAAAAAAGAAACAAAAGAATTTATTTGATAAAAAAAACCATTGAGGACAGGACTAATCTGTTATTTTTCTATTTGTTAATGAAGTAGACCAATGAAATGTGAAATTGGATGTGTCTTTTGATGAAATTTTTATTCATTGAACAAGAACGATATAATGGGTGATCGATATAATATTCATAGTCAACTTGAACATTTACAATCAAAATATGTTGGTAAGTTTAGACATTTAGAAAAATATTTTAACGAAAAAATTGATACTCGTATAGAGAAATAATACTTAAAATAGTTGAAAAAAACAAATGTTTTCTTTAAAAAAAAACAACAAGACAATGTGAGAATATTCTTATGGAGGTCACTTGAAATTTCATGAACTTAAGGAAAACTATTTGTTTTATTTTTCTCATTATTTCTGAGACTTTTTTTTAGTTTTCAAACAATTCTGTTCGAAAAAAATGTTGACGCAATGATTTTCAAGGCAATCATCCGAATTGTTTTATCGCTTTTTAACTCATATCTTCAGAAGTTATATAGAATCTTTAAACTAAAATAACTTCCAGGAAGATGTTGTCTCATAGGTATTGTCTCCAGACTAAAGGTGCGTCGATTGGGAGGGGGTGAGGACACTACCTTTCGAATTGCGAAAAATTTTCATTTTTTCTCAGCTGAGTTCCAGCGTTTTATTGTTTTTTTGTTCATTAGTTCTCAAAAAAAAAATTTATATCTGATCAACTAGCAAGAATCTTTCTATTGACCTTCTGAGTAATCGACATCACAATCCCAAGAAGTTCGAGATATCTTTGCTATAGACTTACAACAGTTTTGTTGGATTTCCACTGCACGATAGAACATTAGCAAGTAATTCAACAAAGAATTTTTGAGTTAAAGTTCCGTCTAAAAGTAAATCTTATCATTCTAAGAATATTCTAAAGGTTTCTGTCAAAAAAAAAAGAATTGCTTCCTTTTTGAAATATTTGATTTTCAAAAACTCACGATTTTTTCGGATCGTTTTCTAAATATTGATTATATCAAGAAGGAAACTTTCGAATGCTCTTACGATCATGAGATCTTATTTGTAGACTAAATTTCACATGAAAACTTTTTTCTTTAATTTCTCTGCTAATGCCCTGTCTTATCATATAAAACTCACAAATCAATCATGAGCAGCCTATCGAGAAAACTTTGGATAGAATTCCATTTTAGATTATTTTAATTTAAAGATTCTCGTCATATGCCTAAATATGAAGTTAAAAGCCGTTAAACAGGACGAAATTTTGTTATCCATGATGAAAATTAACCATTTGTCTCTCAGTTTATTAATTATTACATATAGTTAATGTGTCACTGATGAAAAGAAAAAAATAATCTTCATAAGTTTTCAGACAAGGGAAAGATTCAAAAACACAATAGAAATGAAGTGCGAATCAGAAATGTTTCTTTGCAGTTAGTTTACACAAAATCTTACACGTAGGTTTGAAAATATTTCTTTTCTTTTAATTTAAAGAAGAAAAAGAAATCAGTAGGAAAGCTCCAAGAATCAGTGTATGACATTGAAACTCAATAACTCTGCAATAATAGATTCTTGAGAGAATGTCGAAGTATCTGACATAGAAATTGCAATTCTGTTAAATAGATGCAAGAAGGATTGTACGTAGATTAGATTGCGAAAACTCCTAGCTTTTTTTACACAGATATGAATGAAGAAAGTTAATGAACTTTGATAACTATTTAATAATCAGTTAGTTAAAGCTGAATGAAAGGCATGGTAAATTCCACTTTTCTGAAAGTTCAGATTTCTACACATCATTATGTAATGAATGATACAAGCTAGAAGAATATTGCTGCAAGAATGCATAATAATGCCGATGGTGTATAGCTGAAACTATCTGTAAAAATTCAATTAAAGAGATACAACTCCTAGTTTGGCGTTAGCTTCGACTGAGAAATTCATTTTATTATGAGGAATATACAATATGTAGATGGTGGAGTGTGTGCGAGTTAAGATTAGCGTCCTACCTACACCCTTATATATCAATTCAATGTTTTTTTCACTTGCATAATTGTGAGCTAGTTAACGTTTTATTTCAAATATATTTTTAGAGGTCAAATATAAATTAAAATAACTACCTTTTATAGCTCTAGTCATTAAACTTAATTTTCAAGTTATTCAATGAAGCATTTGTAAAAATAAGTAGCAATAATAAAATGAATTTTCTGATACAACTAATTTCTATAAAATGTAAACTTCAGTTTTGTACTTTTTTTTTAATATTAAAATCAAAAGTCTGCGCCAATTTTTCAAAATACCGAATTAAATCTCCATGATATTTTTCTGATAGTCATTTCATTTGAGTTTTCTGGAAATAGGAACTTATGATTTTATAGTAGAACAATATTTCTATTCATATGAAATACGACCCTTCGAAATAGTGAGTTCAAAATCAATTCTTTGGTCGTAAACGAGAGAAAATATAGCTTTAATTGATTATGTGATTTTCAAAGAAATCAATGATATGTGAAAATATAAGGTTTTATATAAAAAATAAATATTTCAAGATTATTCATTGACAAGTTAATATTTTCAATTGACATAGTTTTCTTTTTGATTATTTAAAATAAAGCTCTGATCATTTTTGTTTGCTTTATTTAAGGTACGGGACATGCAGATACATCAAAATGGGAATGGGCATCAAATATTCATCGTGATACATATGCATCATATTTAGGTCATTTTGATATGCTTAATCATATTGCTTTATGTGAAAATGAAAGTAAAGCACGTGTTAAATTTCAATTATTAAAAAAAATGATTCAACCATGTGGACCACCTCATGAAAAAATGGATGAAAGTTAATGAAATTTATAAACAAAAGAACTAAATAAACAAAGAATTTTTGTTATTGTTGTTCTGTTAATTTGAAAAATAAATGACGAACATAATGTATTCAATTTTTATTTAGTCTCATTCGATCAAGAATTTTAAGTGAAGAAAAGAATGCATTTTTCGACGTACATATTATTATGCATTTATCATCATATTGACATAAACTGATATGCGTAGATGAAAATAAAATAAAAATTTATCTTATGTTTGTTATGATAGAAACGAAAAAATTCATTTTTTCCAGATTTTTAAGAATAATGTCGACAGTTGAAAGTGATAAAACTGAATCTAAAACAGCAAATTCTGATGAAGCAAGTTCGAGTTCAACACGTCCAAGTGGTGATTCTGAAAATGATGGAAAAGTTGTTTTTCTTCTTCAAGCAGTAGGTGATGCACCAATATTAAAAAAGAAAAGATGGGTATTACCAAGATCAAAAACCATCAGTTATATTGCTGAATTTCTTAAAAAACATATGCAATTAGATGTTGAACAACAAAAACAATTATTTCTTTATGTTAATCAAACTTTTGCGCCTGCACTTGACACAACTATTGGAACTGTAAATGATTGTTTTAAGAGTGAAAGAATGCTTGTTTTACATTATGCATTAACACCAGCATGGGGATAAGAAAATAAAGAATTTTTTTACAATTTTAAAAAAAATTTCATTTGACTTTATTTTTCTTTTTTGGTTTTTAGATTAATGTGGAAACGAATTTTCAGAAAAGATTTTATATATGAAAAAGTATTATAATCAGTCCGTGTAATTCAATTTCTTCTTTATCAAATGAACTATAGATTAATGATCTTCCTCGAGAAGGTTTAACACCTTATGGCGTTAAAAAAAAGTTATGTTGATGAATGTACTGAAACTCTACCAAAACTAAAACAATATCGAAAAGCTTCAATTCTTTTACTTGTTGAGAAATATCCATAAAATGCATCTGGTTACAAGGAAGAAGGATCGGTTAGTCTTTGTTAAGTTGTGAATTTAAATTGGTTATGACTGTAATTTTAAAAGAGCATCTTGTCAGATTTCAATAGTTTATTATTTATGAATGACATAAATGAATGATAGATATATTGGTTGTAAAAAAATAGAACCATTTGCAAAGTAACATTATTACCATTTAAGAACTTGTTAGGAGTGCTAGATATTTATATTGAAAATCAGTCATTTTGTGACTGTTGTATTTGAACAAAATTTAATGTTTTGAAATTGTTATTCATCATTAATTATAACTTTCATGAAATATATCTTTCTTTTTTTTTGATTTCTGAGTAACATTGTTGAATGCTTTAATATCGTTGATGTGAAACATTGTAAACTTTCAAAGAAATTTAATTTGTGTTTTCTTTTTGGTAAGACATATTTTAAGAAGAAGGAATTCAAAATTTTTGGTTTTACTAGACTTTCAATTTCAGAAAGCATCAAAATCCAGCAAAAAAAAATTCTGCCAACATTCGACGGAGTCTTGTCGGGATGAGCTTGAATTGAATATTGACATATATTTCGTTTCTTTTTTTTTATACGCTTAGTTAATGTACCGTTGTTTTTAATAGGCTGAAAATATTTATTAAACGAATAAGTTCTTTCTGAAAAACTTTCTTTCAATTAAACATGTAGAAAGGGCGAGGAGAAAGAATAAAAACGATTTTACTTGGACGTCATTTTCAAACGATAGCTTTATTGTAATGCAGAAACAAATAGAGTAGATATTTTTAGTATTAAAACGATGCGATACAGTTCGATCACATATAGGAATGATTGGCAAGAAAAGTTTTCGAAATAAAAAAGCTTTTAAATAAATAAATAAATATTTTACTTAGTATTTCCTGTTGGAATGTCTGAGTCAACTGTTTATGATACAATACATACAACTGATCGTGAAGCTGATGAAGAAGAAATAAGTCTTAAACCAGAATATTATTCAATACTTGGTTGTTTACCACCAATCACTGATTCTCAAGCTGTCATGATAACACCTGTTGTTGCTTTACTTAATAAACTAAAGTTTATTGATTTTCGTTTATTACATGATGAAATAACAGCTGTATTTTATCTTGATCTTAAATAATTTTTATATGCGAAACATAATTATAAAGTGTTAGAAGTTGGTCATTTTTTTGTAACCCATCATTTTCATATTGAAAAATATCATATTTGAAGTGCGACAGCTTTGGAATTAATTGTTATTGCTACATTAATATTTCAACAACTACCAGAATTCCAGAATTTCATTTTTTTCGACATGGACAACAATTAGATATAAAATTACTTACAAAACAATTACAAACAAATTTTTGAATGTGTTCCAGTTGTCGAAAAAAAAAACTGAAATTAAAGAAGAACTTGACGAAATCCGCCGTTTATGATGATTTTTATCGATGCGGAATATTTTCAGTTTTTATTTTAATTTTATAGTCAAATAGTTGACGTTGAGACAAACTTTAAAAGAATCATTCTGAAAACTTCTCAAAGTATTTCGTGAAGTTCAAATGTTAGTATAGTCTTTTCACTGATCTAATTGTATGAATATCGTGGTTTTCTTATGTGGATAAATAAGTTTTTGATAGATGTGATATGAAGACGTGTAACATTCGGTACATGATCAATTCAGAAAGTAAAAGTCGATGAAGTTCTAATTTTACAATAAAATCAATATGAGTGCTTCAGAATTCATCAAAAATGGTCGATTAAGATATCTATTGCGTTCAGTTGTTTTATTGCACCAGACTAAACATATAATCTGAAGAAAAGATTTTGAAAATACAAACAGCATAATTTATTATGACCGATCTGTTATTTATGGCAAGCGTTAGAAGTGTCTACGACAGTTGGGCACTGCACAAATTAAGCCCGTATACGTAAAATTTTCAAAAAATTCCGAGACTAATTTTATTCGAAAATAGGTAAGTGAAGGAGATTTAAGTTATACTACTAGCTCGAATATCCAATCTATAACAAAGATCAGAACAAGTCTTGAAATAGTAAGAAAGATGAAAAAAAACAATCCAATAGCAAATAATTGATTAGTAACAGATGATAATGATTGTTCATCGTCAAAAATGTTCGACTTAGCCAAACAAGTGGATATTCGTTTCTTTTATAATTAGCTGATAAAACTAATCAATATACAGACTCTATTTGTTAAATGAGAAAATATATTGAAGATATATATATACTACTGAAGTCGTAGCTTGTCAGAAGTTGGATGGAAACGAGTTAGGTCTTCATGGCAAAAATGATCAAGAATATTTCGTAGAACTTTCACAACGTATTTGTTTTCATTGAACATTCATGTGTTTTTCAAACAGTTGTTAGCCAATTCATATGCATACACACCAGGGTAAACAAACCTAATGGAATCTATGAAATAGAGTTAAATGTTTCTTTTCATTTTAGTATTACTGACAAATAACATTCAATGTTCATAATATCATTAGTACTTAAAAAATCTCGATATTTTTTTAATAGGATCTAATGTTTTGAAACAATTTTACTTTTGTTCCTTCATCACTCTTGTTTGAAAGATTAACTTCCCCATAGGTATGATGCAACAATATAAAATTATAGCAAAACAATGATCTAGAATATCCATTTAGCACTCTTTGATCAAGCTGAATTTAGATAAGTACTGTCGTTCATAATAAATGCAAGTTTATATTTAAAAAAAGAAGTTCTATACGATTTTGTAAATACAGTTAAAAGAATGCCATTGGATACAATGAAGACCTTTTGAAACTTCTGATTTTCGAGATTAACAAAATAACATATATATTAAAGCTTTAACCTGAAGTAATATAGAACCATTTTATCTATGAATAGGTAAATTATAGAATAGACTTCGACATCTTGCTTAACCAGTTGAAGTCAATAATTTAATATCTGTATATTTTTTAATCTATTTAATAAAAACTTCTCATAGTTAATAAACAAAGTATCACAGTTAATTATTCTTTATAAAACAATATTGAATCTAATTTGAAAGAAAATTTCAAATATTTCTATTTGCCACCTTGACAGCAAGAGAATTCACTCATGTAAAATATATATAGTAGAACACTATCATTCATTCAAAAGTAAATTTATTATAAAATATTAATTCATAATAGAGGACATTTTACAAATCAAAGTTATTACAGTATCTAAACTGCCATTGTTGGCCGAAATAAATTGTTTTGACAAGTCGATATCGAGATTGTGTTTTATTTATTATCATCTTAACCTTGACGTTTTTCGTTGACCAAAACTCACTTGTATAAAATGTTTGCACAATGTCTTCATCAATGCCATCACCATAATCAATAGTGAATTGTCTTAAATTAGTCAAATACTTTTCAATTAGCTGTTGCCATTGAACACCATTAATAACTGGAAGACGTCTATTATTTGCCTGATCTATATAAAGACGTCGTAAACAAGGAAACACAGAAAGTATGTTTTGAAGACAGATGAAGTTATCGGGGTGATTCATATGCAGTTCATTAATGTGTTTCAAAGCAAAATCTGGTGGTACATTCAATAAGTTATAGTATCCAAAAAGTTTTAGTGATTTGAGATTCGGTACATTATTTTGAAGAAATTGAAGTAAATTTGTTGACCAATAACAGTTATTAATCAATAGATGACGAAGCTGTAAGAATTGAACTGAAACAGTAGGGAAAACATCTACATAATGAGCACATGATAATGAAAGGTTAATAAGTGAGGTAAAACGATCAGCATTATCGACTAATATAAAATAAAAGAGAGAATGACTTGTTGGATTTGAAGAACACCAACTTTCTCTAATAGATAAGCACTTAATTTGATTACCACTTGGAAAATGTTGAAATATTGTACTTATCGATTGACTATTTATTTCACGTAAACGAACTGACCATAGGTTTTCTTTAGCAGAAGATAAAAAATGAGTATCAATGTTAACATCATTATAACATGATAGTATACGAATTTGTGATGGATTGATAAATGATTTAAGTGTATCCCAATCTCTTTCATTTTCATTTGACGAATCATAGATAATGTGTAAATGAGCCGATTGAAGAAGACCATTAATACGATGGTTCAATCCATAAAAAGCTTGATACAAATTGTATGCATCAAGATATTCAAAAGTGTCAAGTAATAATTCGTTGCTTAACGATTCTATTTGATTGAAAATGGCAGAACACATGGCAATCAATAGTATGTTATATTACTCTGTTTTTCTTCGACTTATTTATATGAAGTAATTATCTAGAGTTGCATCAGCAACGCGCAAGTTTTACAACAGAACAGAAAGAGCGATTTATTGATTCATATGTTTTATTTTGCCATCATTTTATTCGAGAAATATTTTTTTCTTCTCTACCAAATAAACATTTAATTTTGTTGATGTACATTAGAATCAAAAACAGATGTCCTTCTCTGACGTTTCCATTCCATTTGAACAACAAGAGTTTTCAAACAAAAAATATACATTGAAAAGTGAATAGTGTTTGTTACTACGGCTATGTGACGTCAATCTGTACTATTCGCACAATTTGTTGATGTCTCATTAAATATCATTTTTTTGTCATTTCAACAAGACGATCTTTTTTAATGTTTTAGTCAGAAATTTATTTTCATCTAGCAATTAATCAAGTGTTCATGATAAGAGAAATAAGTTTTTCTCTTCAAGAACAGTCGATCCACGACTAATATAAACTTCGAATAAACTTGAAACCGTAAATAAAAAAAACAAAGTTCATATTCTACCATAAATAACATTGATAACCGATACTTTTCTAGAACAATCAAGAAGAATATTTCTCAACTAAGTTTTTTTTGACAATTTTCCGTTGTTTTCAACTTGTACAATTTCTCTTACAATAATACTATTCTTCATTTCAAAAAAATCTTTTCAGTATTTTACATTTCACTTTAACCTAGTACAGTAAACACTCTACGTCGTCAGACCGATGATGCTTTTTACAGCTTAATGTGTTTTTATATGAAAGGTCTAATGTTTCATGGTAAAAATAACAGCAATGATAAAAGAGTGTATTTTTTATTGCCAATATGCAACAAATGTATATTCACCAGATACTACTCTAATGGACATTGTGCCAGTTAACTCATTCTCCCTCAAATCACTCATTTCACACACATCTTTTAATAATGTCAATCTATCATTCATTCCTTCTCTCACCCAAATGACTTCATCATCACATATTAGTTTCACGCATCGTCCTTGCTCAATTAATGGATCGAATGAGACAATCGCATCGATATTAGTTGGTATAACAATTGATAATGTCACAACATTTAGAGATACTCTTGACCATTCTACTCGAATTGATCCTTTGATAGTAACCACTTCAGCTTTTACGTGAGTCAACAAATCAGCATCATAAGACAAACGAGGATAAATAGTAATTGTGTGAAAGGCATTTAATTCGATTCCTGCTAAATATCGATAAAACCATGCACCAATACTGTTAAACATATGATGATTTAATGATGCTCTTGCTCCTTGTGGTAATGTATTCCAAAGTTCCCATGTAGTCGTTGCATTCTGTATATCATTATGAAACATATAGCCATAAGATGGATAAGATGTAGCCAACGCAAGTTTTAAGGCTAAATCATGATATCCTTCCTTTGAAAGAAGTGGATATAAAGGAGCGACACTAACAATACCTCCAGTAAAATGACCAGTCGTCATAATATCGTTAACTAATAAATTGAGTACAGCTTTACGAAGTGATACTGGAACGACACCAGGCAAAGCAAGTGCAAGTATATTCATTGCTTGACTTTCATCAACATAGCCACCAACAGCTGCATTGTAGAAGACACAATGAAACTCATCAGTCAATCTCTGATATAATTGTGTGTATTTTTTCACAATATCAGTGCGATTAAGAATTTCACTCATATTGATAAATGTATACACATCACGAAGATAAGCATAAGCAGAAACTAACGAAGTATTAGATGTTTCCTGAACTGTTGCCCAGTCACCCCAATAATAATACATTTTAGCTAATCCAGTCTTTTGATATTCTCTAGTTAAACAATCAATCCATGCTTGAATACCTCTATAATATTTTTGAATAATATTAATATCACCTGTATGTTCATACAAGAACCATGTAATTGTAACATATGCTGTACCCCAGTTAGGATCAGCCGGACTAAAACCTACTGTAAATGGTACTGTATCACTTACTGCACCATCGGGTGATTGATTATCTAAAATCATCGTCAAAAAATTAAGATAAAAATTAACATAATCAAAATTAAATAATGTTTCATCAATACTAAGTCCAGCATCACCCATCCATCCTCGTCGTTCATTTCGTTGTGGACAATCAGTAGGTAAAGACATTGAATTACTTAATTGAGACCAAAGTATATTATGTTGAATTTGATTTAATATATCACTACTAGTGGTGAAATTACCAATGAATTTTGTTTCACTATGTACATTATAACATTCAATATTATCTTTGTTAATACTATCATATCCATTCACCAATAAATATCGAAAACCATGATAAGTAAATAATGGCTCAAATGTTTCATTGCCTGTTCCATTTAAGATTACTGTATCCATCGCAGCTATGTTAGCCAAATTTTCATAATACAAACCAGCAAAAGCAATTCCATTTTTTCCAGATGAATATCGAAATTCAGCGTAGCGCAATTGAATGATAGTAGATTTCGAAGCATTAAGTGAAGATAATTTACACCAACCTGCAAAATTTTGACCAAGATCAAACACTTGTCCATTTACTGAATCTTGTGAAATCGGTTTAAGTACACCACCATCAGTAAGACTAGCACCTTTCACTCCATCTACATTACCCAAACGGCCTGATGTAGCTATGTGCAGTGCATCAGAACCAATACGAATAGGATCCATTAATTGTAAGGATAATTGACCTCCAGTTGTAAAATTAACTGGCGATGGTAAGATGGAAGCATTTATCCACAAAGAGTATTGATCAGTAAAATTGGCACATGACCAACAAACACGTGCAACTCGAAGATCCATGGTTGTACCCATATATATGGAATCATAACGATGTTCACTCTCTCGACCTAACCAAGATGAATCGGTAACAATAGATTGTTTTGTACCGTCTATGTATTGAATATTTAATTGCATCAATACACGTGGTGAACCGTATTGTTCGGAAAGATCAGGACGTGCACCTGGACCAATAATCCATTGTTGACGATTGTACCAACCTTGACCTAAGACGATTCCGATACCTATCAAACCAGTCGTGGCGTTCAATGAACTAGTTAAGTCATATGATACATAAAGTGTACGTTGTTGATATGTAGTCCATCCAACATCTAATCGTCGTGTCTTATCAATTAATTCTCCTTCAATATACAACTGATAATAACCAATACCACTGATGTAAGCAGTAGCTGATTGAATTGCGGTCGATTGAATTGTAACAACGGTTCGTAACTGATTCATATTGATATCATTACTGCCAATCCATTCACCTGACCAATCCATCAATGAAAAGAGTGCAGTACGAAAAGGCATAGTATAAGGCTGACTTTCATATTGTGCAGTATAGTATTTAATAGTAACTGTGTAGCGTGTGTCAGATGTGAATGGTGTACCTGCATAAAGGATGTGTGTCGATGAAGATGAAGGTACATAACCACTGTCCCACATGAGTTGATTACTGATGATGGTAGTAACGAGAATATGGTAGGCTACTTGTTTTGTGCCTCTTATCAAATGACCATCGCTATTATATTCCTGAGCTAGTTGCCATGAAAAGTGTGGTGTTTGAACATCTATAACTATATCAGAATGGGTGTCGACATCAATATGTTGAATACGTACATGATGAGGTACAATAAATGAAGATAAAAATGGCGACGAGTTCGATGCATTATAATGTTGAAGGCGGTGACTATTGCTCTGAACAACGAGCAACATAATTATCAATGATGACAGTGTAAGAGCAGAATGAAATAAGCGAACCTTCATTTCACTGTTAACTAAATAGATAAACAAAATGTGGAGAGACAATGAATCGGGCAGTCAAGATGGTATGTAGCATAAAATGAAAAAATAATAAAAGTGTGATCGCTGATTGTTCTTCATTTTTTTTTTCTAGGCAAACATAATACAGATACTAAACGTGTAGTGAGAAAAGGAAAAGAAAAAAAGCTTCATTAGCGATGTCAACCGTCTTGTCGAAATACATCTATTACTCATAGGTAACAAACACAAAATAGCTTGTCCATATGTAGAAGCAAACTGTTCGACTACAAAATACCAATATTGATCGGTAACTACCATTTCCTCATGTCTAAGAATGAAAGAAGAGAACCAATTAAATACTCTAAACATGTGTGGCGCTACTTGTAACATGAACATTGATCACATTATTGGCAAGTCATTGTTTTTAATAGTCTCTGAAATCAAATCTATCTTAATAATTCACTTGAGATGACTCAGACTGTTCAATTATGCCCAGCAATTAAAGCAAATATCTGTACCGTTGATCAAAAGAAGTTCGTTGGATTCCGTGTAAAAATATTTCCGAGTTGAAGAACAATAAATTTAATTCATTTTCAATATTGTTTGAAAATACAGGTTACATTAAATATACATATGTTACTTCTTCAGTGAGTTGGCATTTCTGTTTTTTCAATAGTTCCATATTTGAATAAGGCATACAATAGTGATGTGATATTAATATTGAAACATTCCTTAGTCCCATTGCAAACTTAGTCAAGATGAATTATTTTTATTTGCTCTAAATGAAATAGAATACTTGAGAATGAACAAAAATGTTTATTTTATAATAATTAGAAAATATGTGGTGCTAACAGAGTAAAAAAAAAAACATTTTTCTTCTAAAATCAGTTTAATATATTTTTGAAATTTGTTGAAATAAAAAGTAAAATGTGTTTAAAAAAATTTTTTTATGACTACACTAATAAAAATCAATAAGCATGTAGATATCATCATTTTCCATCCAATAAATAATCTCCAGTCGAAACGATTAACCGCTTCAACATTTTTTCCATCAGTATTAATCACAAAAGAAGCATAATAGAATCGATGATATTGCGGTCTAAGTATGCATCGAGTCAAAGTTTCGAGTTAGACCTGGATTTGATCTGAGTTTGGATTTAATTGGTATGAAAAAAATATTACAAAGCATT